TTGTTTGTTTGTTTGGAGACAGGGTCTCTGTGTTGCCCAGGCTAGAGTACAGTGGTGCAATCACGGCTCACTGCCACCTCAACCTCCTGGGCTCAAGCCATCCTCTTATCTCAGCCTTCCTAGTGGATGGAACTACAGGCCACACCACTAACTTTTTCCTTATTTTTTGTAGAGGTGGGATCTCACTTTGTAACCCAAGCTGGCCTTCTTAATTTCTAACCAGCTGAGCTATGCTCAGTATGTTCCTTGAGGGCAGTGATCTGAAGTTTAAATTTTTCTTTAAAACCTATGGAAACTGACCAGGGCACAGTGGCTCACTCCTGTAATCCCACCACTTTGGGAGGCCAAGGTGGGCAGACCACGAGGTCAAGAGATTTGAGACCATCCTGGCCAACATGGTGAATCCCCATCTCTACTTAAAAATACAAAAGTTAGCTGTAGTCCCAGCTACTCGGGAGGCTGAGGCAGGAGAATTGCTTGAACCCGGGAGGCGGAGGCTGCCGTGAGCCAAGATCGCACCCACTGCATTCCAAACTGGCACCTGGTGACAGAGTGAAAAAAAAAAAAAAAAAAACCCACAACCTGTGCAAACTGAACTCTGTATCTTGCTTTAGGAGGAAGAAGCGATGCCCTTTTTCTTGAGCCTTAAAGACCCCAATGGGTCAGTTTAGACTGGACTGACCCTCTAAGTAGGTGGCCTTATAGCTAACACCAAGATATCTATAGTGTAATTTCCAAGATTAAACCAACCTAGTGAAAACAATTTATTAGGGAATCACCTATTACATATGGTAGTTTCTCTGTAACAAATCATGTTTACTGGGGCATCCTGTTTCTGTAAGCTCAGAGTTCCAATTCAACCCACTGGAATCTAAGAATTTCCCTTAAGACTCATGTATTAATTGACTCCTTGTGTTCTGTATCACATTCCTTAGCTCACAATTGTTTTATTATCCACCTTAACTATTAGTATATACACAGCATTGGAGGATAAAGATTTTATAGAATACAGTAGGGTCCTGAGTCCCCTTTACTAACTGGAAGTTTTTCAGTCCTGCTATGAGCTGATGATACTTATTTTCTATGCTACTCAGTTTACCAGAGTTTTAGGTATTTCTCCATTTAGGACCATAAAAGCCTCTGACTCCATGCTAAAGGCTCAAATAAGGAGATGATGAAGGTCAAGGTGGTTGGATTTTTTTACTACAAGGGTAGTAGAGTCTTGAGCAGCCCAAGTCTTGAGTGTTAGGGGTATTGATTATAAGCCTGGAACTGCCTATCCTGCCCTGTTCTTGCAGGAATACAAGAAAGCAGGTCATCTTTCAACAAAACCTGGCTTTGTGGATTATGCATGAGGTCAGTCTCTTACTGGTACCTTCAACCTCATTAGTATTCACTTCATATGATTCCTCAGCTTCAGAAGTAGACCCTATAGACACTATGTTTAGAATTTTTGGCAAATCCTTTCTGGTTTCCACAGGTGAAAACTGGAAAGCAGTCCCAAGTGTCAATGGCAGAACAAAGATGCCTGAATCCAGTTCCATCTTTCCCGTGTATCTTCCACTTACCTGCCCCTTCATGTTGAACCAACGTTAATAGGTGCAAGGTAAGGAGGACTGGGTTAAACCTGCTAGTAAAGGCTTCCTTTTCAGGCTAGAAGCTAGTAGGATGGCAACAAACAGGTACTATGCAAAGGGCAAAGCCATTAGCTGGTGACTGGCAAAATGCAGTCAGAAAGAAACAAGGGAGTGTTGCTAAGCGTATCAGCAGAAGTTGACATACAGGTTTTAGCAGAAGTATTTTGGTAAACAAAATGACTAGAGGAAGCAGGGGTGGGGGATGGAAGCAAAGAGACGTTAATGCAGTCTTCAAGGAGCTAAGAACTTGATATAGGATAAGGGCAGAGAGGAAGGGATATCTTTGGAAAAACTTTTGATGTCTTGCAGGCACAAGATGAGTTCAGAAGTAATCAGTGCTAGAAGGATGTGCAAAATAAAAGTTAAGAGAAGCTAAGGATATAGAAGGCATCCTGAAAGTAAAACAGCTGAGGGCCACAAAGCATATCATGGAAAATCTCTTAAGCAGGGGAGGTCAGGTAGGAGAAGAAAGAATATTCTCTTCCAAAAGAAACAGTTAAATAGTCTTTGGGAGGTCAGTGGTAAAAAGAAGTGGGAATGAAGTGAACAGAGTACAGTTAGGCCTTCCCCTAGGAGGTAGCTACTATTTTTGTTGTTTTTGAGACGGAGTCTCCCTCTGTCGTGCCCAGGCTGGAGTGCAGTGGCCCAGTCTCAGCTCACTGCAACGTCCGCCTCCAGGGTTCAAGCGATTCTCCTGCCTCAGCCTCCCAAGTAGCTGGGATTACAGGTGCCCACCACCATGCCCAGCTAATTTTTTAATTTTAGTAGAGATGAGGTTTCACCATATTGGCCAGGCTGGTCTTAAACTCTCAACCTCAGGCTGTCCACCCACCTTGGCCTCCCAAAGTGCTAGGATTACAGGCATGAGCCATGGTGCCCAACCTGCTTCTGAGTGTCCCAGAAGCCAGACTCTGTTAAGGGAAGCATGAGGTCCACTGGCTCTTCTTTGTGAACTATGAGCATAAACACAAATCAAGAATGAGGATAACTTACAGGGATAAACTCTGGTAACTTACAGGGTTAAACTGTAAGTTAAACTCTGGTAAATTACAGGGTTCTTCAATAATTCTATTCCCTTTACCAACAACTGATTAAAAAATAGGTGACCCAATTTTAGGCCACGAGACAAGGACAAACTGGCTGGGTGGCTTCTGGGAAACAGTTTCCCAAAAAGGTAAGATGAAGTTTCCTTCCATTTCAGCTGGTTAAATTAGTGCTTTCTGCTAAATGCAGCTAAATGCATTGGATCTGTTTACTTGTAATAAAGTCAGAAAGAAACAACATGCAATACGTAAAAGCACAGGAAATTCAAATCATGCTATGACAGCCAAACCAGTAAAGTCTTAGAGCTTGTGAGGAGCCTTTAGCTATACCTCCACGTGGCCATACCCCAGGCAGCCATACCCCAGCCAGCATTCCCAACACCAAACTGTAACCCTCTCCCAGAACTGCCAAGTCTAAGCCCACCAGAGAAAGGGAAAGGTAGGGTAATCCTCTCCTCAAGGAGACCAGGGGGGCCCTGGATCAAGCCACGAGGAGAGTGCTAAATGATGGAGACGAGGGCTATTCACAGCACATCCTGAGGCCTTGGATGACCTGGATTTCAGCAACCTTCCCTCCCCAACATCTTGGCAGAGCTAAATGGTTGCTCAGTGAAAGTGAATTTTGGCAACAAGAGTCCCGAGAAATCTAGTATGTTCTGGCTGGAGAACAAACCTTCCTGGAAATCCCATAGCTCAGAAAGCCTGTTCCCCTGCAGGGTTGGCGCAGGCTATATATAGATCATGGTCTGTATCATGAATGTACCAGTGGTATCAAGACCTATGTTCTGAAAAGTAACTAGCATACCAGGCTTCAGGGGCCTATTTTCTGGGTCGGGATCAGTGCTAAGCCCAAGCTCCAGGAAGACTATCAAAGGGAAATGACTTAGGGCAGCAGGAAGAACAACCATTGGACAGAGGCTGAGTATGTAGATAATCCCACATTGTGATCCTTCACAACCTGCTGTAAAAGCTCTAGCTTGCCTTATTTGAAGAAATAATCAAATTCTGTCTTGCTGCAAACCTATTCTCCTTTCTGATTTTCTATCATCTCTGCTTTCCATACTCAAATAATGTTTGACTTCTCTTCTTCCCAAGAGCAAGTTAGTTTCCAAGTTTAAGATTTGTCCTCCATACCTATATGCCCACACCCTCCCTTCTGAGATGCTCATGTTCTTTATTATTTAATTTGTTTTTTTTTTAGGGGGAGACAGGGTCTCACTCCGTCACCCAGGCTGGAGTGCAGTGGCCCATCTTAGCTCACTGCAGCCTGGACCTCCCAGGCTCAAGCAATCCTCCCACCTCAGCCTCCCAAATAGCTGGGACTACAGGCACATACTAACATGCCCAGCTGATTTTTAAAATTTTTTTTGTAGAGACTGGGCCTCAATCTGTTGCCCAGGCTGATCTCAAAACTCCTAAGTTTAGGCGATCTTCCTGCCTTGGCCTCCCAAAATGCTGGGATTACAGATGTGACCCACTGGGCCCAGCCTCCTCTGCCCATAATTCTTACTAACTCACCACACCAAGATTTTTATCAATCAATTTCACATAATCAGAGCAATCACCTTAAATTCCTGTATTCCTAGCCTTCCAAATATCTGATTATGTCCTTAGTATCCTCTCAAGTAGTCCTGACACCAACCCTCCTCCTAACCTCCCATCTCCATACATATACGAACACGCAAACCTGCTCTGATCACACCAGCTGCCCACTTACCACGTTCTGCCTTCATGCCATCACCCAAGTTACTGGGTGAGGCCAGGACTGCCATGGAGATTCAAGCAGAAAGGCTGGGTTATGGGAAAGAAGGCATTTAGTGGCCCAGCTGGTAGCATAGTTTAGCTCAACAGTCAGCCCAACACCGATGATGTACAGCTGTGCTCTGCATAGGGCAGACAGCCCAGTAAAGCAATAGGCTCAGTGCAACAAAAGGCAACAGTCATTGAGTACTTATACATCAAATACTGTACTAAGCAATGCGTAAGTACCATCTCCCTCCATTACTAACAATCACCACTGCAGAAAGCAAATGCTATTACTATCCCCATGTTACATGAGGAAACGGGCTCATAAAGGTTGAGTAATTTGTTCAGGGCTCCACAGCTAACTAGAGGTAGACCTGCAATGTCACACCGTGATCTACCTGGTCAGAGTACTTTATTACGTGTTCTCCCAAAATAGGTTAGCCTTGCAGGAAGTGATCAGTTAACTTACATGAAGTCCTTCCTCTCTCTAGTATCACGTGGGAAAGACCACTTGGAAGGATTGAAAGCCACATCTAGTCTGGAAGAGTTTCCCCTAAGTAAACATCAAATAAGATGCCGCATATCATATTTTTATCCATTTCACATTCAAGACCAAGTTCCCAAGGATCCCTTCTGTAGCTGCCTCACTGTATATACTCTTCCTCATTCAGCCCATCCCAAAACAAATTCTGACAATGACACATAAGCTGCATGTAGCTGACCAGCCTACCAGGTCTTTTATGCAGTTCAACATACACAGTGACACCAAGGTAAGACAAATGAAGTTCCAGTTTGGGTGCCTCCATCTCCCTCCCCTGGATCCTGATCCAGTGACTGTCAAAGCCAGAAAGAACTGGGGTAGGGTGCTTGATCATGGGGAAAGTTGTTGTGGTTCACCCGGCAGATGGGAAAGGGGGAAGGTTTCACTTCTTCACAATTTGAATGACATCCTCATCCTCCAACGTATGGTCTTTACCCACTTTCTGAGGATTGTGTTTCACAGAGAGACCCCAGACCAGAGCACTGTATGGAAGGGAAAAAGAACAGTCAGTGTAAATAATAACCTAGCTTCTGCCCTATTTGTCTAGGTGCCACCCTTCTGCTCAGATTTAGTATCACAGTCTTAAGAACCATAGACCTACAAAAGTTTTATCATCCCTAGCAGCATGAGACACTGAAGCCTTAACATATAAGGCAGCAAAGACTTCTGGGAGTTGTGTGGTTCCTCCTATTGCAGAAAGTCAAAGATGAAAAACATGATTAGTATAAAGAGACTGGTTTAAAATTAAAAGAAAGCATGGATTTGTTTAGAGAAAGACCCTGAAAATTTCAGATTGATTCTTACAGATAAAATGTCAGTTATAGGCCGGGCGCGGTGGCTCAAGCCTGTAATCCCAGCACTTTGGGAGGCCGAGGCGGGTGGATCACGAGGTCAAGAGATCGAGACCATCCTGGTCAACGTGGTGAAACCCCGTCTCTACTAAAACTACAAAAAATTAGCTGGGCATGGTGGCGCGTGCCTGTAGTCCCAGCTACTCAGGAGGCTGAGGCAGGAGAATTGCTTGAACCCAGGAGGCAGAGGTTGCGGTGAGCTGAGATCGCGCCATTGCACTCCAGCCTGGGTAACGAGCGAAACTCCGTCTCCCAAAAAAAAAAAAAAAAAAATGTCAGTTATAGACTGTCAGAGAATACCTGTTTTTGCTGGGTTTACTGAAAACATCAGTGGATACTGACAAGAAATTAGGGTCTCCCTCTTTAGATAGGGCTTCCCTCTTTAGCAGTGCCAGGAAAATCTTCCTATCAATAAACTTAATTGATAAGTCCTCCTGATTTACTGGAATATGTGAAGGTGATTTATATCCATGGGCCTCCAAATTTAATAAGGTCTAGTGATGAAAACTGGTGAGTAAAACACTGAGACCTGCCTCACAGAGACTAAGAACTATATACCAAGGAGTAGAAAAGGTGGCCATATTGTTGTTATATTGTCACTGAGTCAAAACCTTTTAAAAACATTCCTAAAAGATACCACTTAAAAAATGAATATCAGGAACAAATACAATAATTAGTCAAACATAAAATTCTCAAATGCACTAACAAGTAAATATATGTAGATAAATACAAGGTGTCCATTTTACTATCTTAAACTAGAAAACTAGTTTTTAGCAATCAGGTGCAGTGCCTAAAGTGAAGTCAGGGCCTCTTACTTTACTGATAGCAGGGTAAACACTTCAGCCTTTCTGGAAAGCAATAAAGCAAAATGTATCCAAAGCCACACAATCATTAATACTACTTCTAGAATAAAAAGGTTCCTGAGAAACTGAAGCCTAACATAAATAAGAAGGGAAAGATCTGCGATTGAAGACTAGAAAATAACACAAAGTAGGTACGGGCACAGTGGCTCATGCCTGTAATCCCAGCAGTTTGGGAGGCCGAGGCAGGAATACTGAGGTCAGGAGTTTGAGATGAGCCTGGCCAACATGAAGAAAACCTGTCTCTACTAAAAATACAAAAATTAGCCAGGCCCACACCTGTAATTGTACAGGCCTGTAGTCCCAGCTATCCAGGTATTTTGGAGGCTGGGTCACAAGAACTTGAACCCAGGAGTTGGAGGTTGGACCCTGCAATGGACCAAAATCGTGCCACTGCACTCCAGGACAACAGAACGAGACTCTGTCTCAAAAAAGAAAAAAACACCTAAAGTAGCAAAAAATGGAAAATATGGTTATAAAAATTATATATATGAATCTTAGAACACAAAGCACAGAGTAAGGGATCAATGTGGTCAAGAACATGAAGGAAATGGAAAAAGGGTAAGTGTTGCTGAAAGTTTTCTAGTAAGAGTTGTATCAGCCTGGGCAACAAGGAGAAACACTAGCTCTACAAAAATATAAAAAATTAACCAAGCATGGTGGTGTGCACCTGTAGTACCAGCTATTTTGAAAGGCTGAGGTGGGAGGATTGCTTGAGCCCAGGAGTTCCAGGCTGCAGTGAACCATGACTGCGCCACTGGATGCCAGCCTGGGCAGCAACAGAATGAGACCCTATCTCAAAAAAAAAAAAAAAACAAATGCAATCATTAAAGGGAAAAAAATTAAAAAGTACAGTGGGGAGCAAATAAAATCCTATTTGCTTCGACATGTTTCTTATCCGAGACATTTTTCTCTGCTTTTCAATTCCCTGGTAAACTTAAAGTTCTGAAGGCTTTGAACAACATTTTGTCTCCATAAAGAGCTATATATAAATATACAATGTTTGAAAAAGGACAGTGTTTAACTTTTTACAAAAGTCATTTTTACCAGTTAAAGTAACTGCCAAAGTATAATGTTTTGACTGTAGTGGAAATTAGCACTTACATGTGGAATATAGTTGTTTTAGGTATAAGGATCTGAAGGTCAATAAAAGACTTCACTCGGTACTCTTAGGATCAGAGATAAGTTTTTGTTTTTTCTTTGGTTGGTTTTCTGAGGAGGGGCCTGGTCTGCTGCCCAGGCTAGAATATAGGGCATGATCATCATCACGGCTCACGATGGCCCCAAGCAATCTTCCTACCTCTGCCTCCTGAGTAGCTGGGACCACAGATGCCTGGTACCATGTCTGGCTAATTTTCATTTTTGATAAAGACAGGGGTCTCACTATATTGCCTAATCTGATCTCTAACTCCTGGACTCAAGCAGTCCTCCTGCTTTGGCCTCCCAAAGTGCTAAAGGCATGAACTACCACACCTAGCCCTACTGTCTTTTGTTTTTAAGAAAAAGTGCAGCTTGCCGCCAGTGCTCATTTAATTGTACATAAACACGTTCTTTGAGGCTGAAGCAAATCTGACTGATTTTCAATGTGAAAATAAAATATAAAAACTGTTCTTGGAGTTATCTCTAAACAGAACTAACATCAGAATTGTCTGCATCATCAGAATTATTTACTTTGGAAAAAACAGATTCATCAAATGAATCTTCAGCCAACAACCGTTAAAGAATGTTAACATCATGCATGAGAATGCTATGTTTTCTAGGATTTGACATTTTCAGCAATTGAGAATTACTATATTTTGTAAATAGAAATACCACTACTAAAACCAGAATGCTATAAATAGAATGATGGCTTTTGTTTCCGAAGTCAATATGCTGGAGTTATGTGAAAAGAATAAAAGTGGCTGGGCATGGTGGCTCATGAGGTCAAGAGTTCAAGACTATCCTGACCAACATGATGAAACCCTGTTTCTATTTAAAAAAAAAAAAAAAAAAAAAAAGCCAGGCATGGTGGTGCATCCCAGCTACTCAGGAGGCTGAGGCAGAACAACTGCTTGAACCCTGGAAGTGGAGGCTGCGGTGAGCCGAAATCACGCCACTGCACTCCAGAGCAAGACTCCTCAAAAATAAATAAATGCAAGCTATTTCATGGCAAAGTTACCTTCAGGTAAAATGCTGCAGGTGCAAGAACTGCCAGCAAGTATTCCCAGGGCAAATGGGAAAAGGGTTAAAACAAATGGAATTGTGAGCCTGTAAACATGGAAAGAGCTACTCATAAATACTGTAATCCAGTTAAAACTATTTCTTGTAAGATTAGGAGTGAAATGCTGAACTACTATAATTTTTTTTAAAAAAAAGGAAATAGATGGTGAGGCACAGCGGCTCACACCTGTAATCCCAGCACTTTGGGAGGCAGAGGTGGGTGGATCACCTGAGGTCGGGAGTTTGAGACCAGCCTGACCAACATGGAGAAATCCCGTCTCTACTAAAAATACAAAAAAAAATTAGCCAGGCATGGTGGCAGGCACCTGTGATCCCAGCTACTCAGAAGGCTGAGGCAGAATTGTGTTAACCCGGGAGGTGGAGGTTGCGGTGACCTGAGATCACACTATTGCACTCCAGCAGCCTGGGCAACAAGAGCTAAACTCCCTCCCCCCACCCTACCCCCCCCCCAAAAAAGGTAAAGAATTATAGATAATCACAGCTAGATTTCTCATTGTTGAAAAGAAGTTAAAAATAAGGAAGGCCGGGTACTGTGTCTCATGTCTGTAATCCCAGCACTTTGGAAAGGCAAAGCAGAAGGATCGCTTGAGCCCAGGAGTTCGAGACCAGTCAGGGCAACATAGGAACACCCTGTTTCTACGAATAAAAAAAAAATTAGCTGGGCACGGTGGCACACACCTATGGTCTCGTCTCAGCTACTCAGAAACTGAGGTAGGAGGATCACTTGAGCCAGGGAAGTTGAGACTGCAGTGAGCTGTGACACAGCCACTGCACTCCAGTCTGGGAGACAGAGACCTGGGTCTCAAAAGTAATACTAAGCAGGAAGGCTAAAATGAACCCTGTGGTACTGAACTAGAATCAGAAGTAACAGTATAAACTCATGATTTTTAGGAAAGATGGATGGATAAATGGATAGTGAGGAATGATAAGACAGATACGGAAATACAGATGTGTATCTAAGCATCATTAGTAACCATACATATATTTCCTAACTTTATTTGCTGAGAGGGCCTACAGGCAATGATAACCTACTTACTAACAATGAGCACACTTAGCACCCACATCTTGAAAACTGGAGCTCCTTGGAGAAATGACTAATTTTCAGGGCTGGTACAGGCAAAAATCAATGTCAATTGGGAACATCTAAATATTAACAGTACCAAAAAGTAAGGAAAGGCTGTGCACTGGTGGCTTATGCCTGTAATCCTGCATTTTGGGAGGCAGAGACAGAAGGATCATTTGACCCCAGGAGTTTGAGAAGCCTGGGCAACATAGCAAGACCCCATCTCTAAAATAAATAAATAAATAAATGGCTCATGCGTATAATCCCAGCACTTTGGGAGGCCAAGGTAAGCAGATCACTTGAGCCCAGACATTCAACACCAGTCTGGGAAACATCTCTACAAAAAAGCCCCACAAGCCTTTCGGCCGGAACCGCCATCTTCCAGTAATTCGCCAAAATGACGAACACAAAGGGAAACAGGAGAGGCACTCGATACATGTTCTCTAGGCCTTTCAGAAAACATGGAGTTGTTCCTTTGGCCACGTATATGCGAATCTATAAGAAAGGTGATATTGTGGACATCAAGGGAATGGGTACTGTTCAAAAAGGAATGCCCCACAAATGTTACCATGGCAAAACTGGAAGAGTCTACAATGTTACCCAGCATGCTGTTGGCATTGTTGTAAACAAGTTAAGGGCAAGATTCTTGCCAAGAGAATTAATGTGCGTATTGAGCACATCAAGCACTCTAAGAGCCGAGATAGCTTCCTAAAACCTGTGAAGGAAAATGATCAGAAAAAGAAAGAAGCCAAAGAGAAAGGTACCTGGGTCCAACTGAAGCACCAGCCTGCTCCAGCCAGAGAAGCACACTTTGTGAGAACCAATGGGAAGGAGCCTGAGCTGCTGGAACCTATTCCCTATGAATTCATGGCATAATAGGTGTTAAAAAAAATAAAAGACCTCTGGACTGGAAAAAAAAAAAAAAAAAAGCCCCACAAAAAACTAGCTGGGCATGGTGGCTAGTGGTTCCAGCTACTCAGGCGGCTGAGGCAAGCTGAGGTCTAAGCCCCTAAGATCAAGGCTGCAGTGTGCTGTGATCATGTGATCATGTCACTGCACTCTGGCCTGGGCAACAACAAAAAAAAAAAAAAACAGCTTATCAAAAGAACACAGGAGCCAACATGAAAGAGTTCCTAATGGCCAAAGCTTTGTAATAATTTGAGCAACAAAGTAATAATAGTGTTAGATTACATCCTATAGAATAAAATAAATAACCAAGAGCTCAAACTGACAGGAATTATGAATTAAATAGAGAAGTGATAGCTCTAACACTCAGTAGATGTCCAATAAATAAATGTAAAAGTAAGAAAGAAAATAAAGAATCACCATTAGGTCAGGCGTGGTAGCTCACGCCTGTAATCCCAGCACTTTGGGAGGCCAAGGCAGGTGGATCACCAAAGGTCAGGAGTTTGAGACCAGCCTAGCCAACATGGTGAAACCCCATTTCTACTAAAAATACAAAAGTTAGCCAGGTATGGTGGCACACGCCTGTAGTACCAGATAGTACGCTGAGACAGGAGAATTGCTTGAACCTGGGAGGCAGAGGTTGCAGTGAGATGAGATTTTGCCACTGCACTCCAGCCTGGGGGAGAGAAAGAGACTCTGCCTCAAAAAAATAAACACACACACACTGTAGCTATAAATGTCACAGACAAGCCTCACCAGTAGATGCTAATATCAGCAGGCAAAAATTTGAAGAGAAACAGGACTTTCATAGTCTCAAAAGTACCCCAAGATACTTATCAAATATGGAGAGACAAATGGTACCTTCGCAGCAGAGAAACCCTCCCTATGCCAACTTAATCAAGTCATCAAGGTGAATATTATCATCAGTAAGGTATATCAAACATCATGAATTTCATGTCACAATACACTGAGAACACATCATTATTTTTGTAGTATTCTTACTAAAAATGCATAATCTCATTTCAGTCATGAGAAAACACTGGGCAAACTCAAAGTGAGGAACATTCAATAAAATAATGAACACTTCAAAAGTGTCAAGGTCATCAATGACAAAGTCTAAGGAAATATTACTGGTAGACTAGAACACAAGAAGACTACAAACAAGTAACTAGATGCTATAAAGGTTCCGGAATACAAAGCAGACAAAAGAAAAAGTAGTAGAAAACAGAAGTATAAGAAAAAGTAATAAAATTCAAATAAGGTCTATAGTTTGGTTAATAAAGCATACCAATGCTTATTTCCTGTTTTGATAATTTTATAGTGAGCTGTTAACAGAAGTGGAGTGAGAGACAAAAGGAAACTACTATATTTGCAACTTTGCTATAAGTCTAAAATTAGTTCAAAATAAAAAATATGCTGGGCACAGTGGCTCACACCTGTAATCCTAACACTCTGGGAGGCTGAAGAAGGTAGATCGATCGCTTGAGCTCAGGAATTCAAGACCAGCCTGGGAAACGAAGCAAGACCTTGTCTCTAATTTTTTTTTTAATTAGTCGGGGCTAGTGGTGTGCACTTGTAGTCCCAGCTACTCAGGAGGTTGAGGCAGGAGGGACTGCTTGAGCCCAGAAGATTGAGGCTGCAGTGAGCTATGATCGCACCACTCACTCCAGCCAGGGCAAGAGCAAGACCCTGTCTCAAAAATAATTTTTTTCTTTTCAGCCTGTGTCAGCAGTGAAAAATATAACAGATTAGGGAGGTTTTGCCCATGCTTAAGGTTTAGAAGGTGGCTCAGCACCCAGTAGAGGCCAGTGTGACCTAAGCAGGAATGTCTGTGTTTGCCAAGAGGAAGATGAAATAATGAGGAAAGGTCAGGCTGTTTGTAACATCAGACTTGCTGAGGTTTCTAGAGCTCTTCCTGTTCTAATTAGGCATGGTTTTAAGAAGACACTGCAGAGTTCTAGCCAAGCACACAATTTCAGTAGCCTCCTTCCTACCTTCTTTGTAAAAATGCTATCCTAAGAATTACTAGTTAATGAAATTGGTAACTCACAGGAAAAAGAAGGGACCATATATCCATGATACTTACTATTTAAATTCTTTGATAAGATTTTTGTGAATCTTCATGCAGAAATCCTCCACTGTGGTCCTGGAGTAAGGAAGCACCACTGGGGATGTGTAATCTGGTAACTGGCCTTTGGGTTTGGTATAACTAAAATAGAGAAGACATAAGGGTTACCACCTTCTTAAGAGTATCTCATGTGTTGAATGTATACCAACCCTCTATCACCCCTGACATCAGACCAGGACAACCTCCAACCTGAAGAAAAAGTATCCTTAGACACTTTTTTCCTCCAACCTGAGGAAAAAGTAGATAATAGGAACCAAGTTACTTGTTTTTCCAAAAAAAGAGCCAGATTTTTCTGCTCAGATGTACGTTATATAGTAGGAAAAAGAAAAAAAATTTTTTAATTAAAAGCCAGATTTTGTTAATGAGCTCCAGAAAGTATCATTTTAGGACAGTCTGGTTTAATTCCTACAGCAACATTACCCTATCCACAAAGACTTACATTCTCACTAGTTTCAGGTAGTCCCAGATCTTTTCCAGTAAGTCATCAAAATTCCAACGGTGATGGGCAGAGATGGGTACACAGTGAGGCACCTTATAGATGATATCCAATTCCTCAATGGAGATTTGGTCAATCTTATTTAACACATAGATACAGGGGATATAAACTCTACAGAAGTTGAAGAAAAACAGGGTATTAGTCTGGAGTTGTTGATAAAACTGTCAGCCTGTTGAACAGCACACCCTTACCCATACCCAACTGACGCTCTCAAGAGGGATCATAAGTAGATGATCAGCCAAAAAAAAGGAAAAAAAAAAAAAAGTGAACTATGAGTTGAAAAGCAATGAGTCAGGCCCTAGTACCAGCCATAAAGCTAATTGCTGGGAAAGCATGCTGCAGTGGAAAGAACACAAGCTTTGAAGTGTTCAGACTGATTCTAATCCCAGCTGTGTCATTTTCTAGACACAGCTGGCCCTCCACATATGCAGGTTTTGCATCCTTGAATTCAACCAACTGCAGATCAAAACCCACAGACACTGAGGGTCAGCTGTACTACACCATTTTATATAAGTGACTTGAGCATCTGCAGGTTTTATTATCTGCAGGGGGTCCTAGAAGCAATCTTCTGTGGATATGAAGAGATGATGTTATGTGTCCCTGGGAAAGTCACTTAACCTCTGAGTCAGTTTCCTACAAGACTGTTTTAAGGATATAATTTATAGTATTTCATAATTTTTAAAGACTAAAAAATAAATGTTTTAAACACAGCATCTACCAATGTCATATTCCTAGTGTCCAATCAATGACAGCCAAGGTTACTAATAATTAGGCAAGCCACAACTTCTCAGGGTTTAACTGCCTCACTTGTAAAATGCCTAACTGAAAACACTGGCTTCTGGTTGTTTTCAAATGAGGAGTAAATACATTCATCCAACATATGGGAACAAATGACTAAGTGAGCAACTTATATACAATATTATATACAAATGCTACAAGTATTTTAACAGTGCCTTAACTTATTAAAGTCTAATATCAATGGGCTGGGCATAGTGGCTCATGCCTATAATCCCAACACTTTGGGAGGCCAAGGCAGGCAGATTGCTTAAGCTCAGGAGTTCAAGACCAGTCTTGGCAATGTGATGAAACACCACCTCTACAAAAAATACAAAATTAGCTGGGCTTGGTGGCACACACCCATAGTCCCAGCTACTCAGGAGGCTGAGGTGGGAGGATGGATTGTGTCTGGGAATTCAAGGCTGCAGTAAGCCATGATCACACCACTGCACTCCAGCCTGGGTAACAGAGCAAGACTCCGTGTCAAAAAAAAGGCCAGGCACAGTGGCTCACTCCTGTAATCCCAGCAGTGTGGGAGGCCGAGGTGGGTGTATCACCTGAGGTCAAGAGTTTGAAACCAGCCTAGTAAACATGGCAAAACCCCATCTCTACTAAAAATACAAAATATTAGCCAGGCGTGCTGGCAGGCACCTGTAATCCCAGCTACTTGGGAGGCTAAGGCAGGAGAATCACTTGGACCTGGGAGGTGGAGGTTGCAGTTAGCCAAGATCACACCACTGCACTCCAGCCTGGTTGACAGAGCAAATTCTATCTCAAAAAAAAAAAAAAGATAGGAGCACAACTGGAGTTAGGATAAAATTCTGCCAATTTCAAGATGCAATACTCTTTCCATCACAAGGCTTCAAATTCAGTCAGGCACAGACTGCACACTCAGTCAATACCTGTTTCCTTCCACCACATCAATGAGGTCATCAGCTGTAGCATCACTACGTAGAGTCACATCGGCATTATGAATCTTGTATTCGGCCAGAATGCTTTTCACAGTTTCAGCATCCAGCTCACTCTGGGGGCACTGAAAGGGAACAGCAGATGACTAGTCAGCACAAAATTTAAAAAAAAAAAAAAAAAAAAAAAAACCTCCCCAAGTGTACCTAGATCCATGTACCTGGTAAATTCTAGCTAAGATGCGAACTCATTACTAAAGACATCCCAGATGAGTGTGACTGACATTTAGTAGAAAATAAATGTCCAATCTCCAAGGAAAGTGTTACACACTGAACTGTGTTCCTCCTTCCCCCACCAAATAATTAATAACCCCAGTATCTCAGAATGTGACTATATTTGGAGACAGTCTTTAAAGAGGTAATCAAATTAGAATGAGGTCATTAGGGTGGGGCTCTAATCCAATACCGGTGGTACTAATAAGAAAAGGAGCTTAGAGGCCAGGCACGGTGGCTCACGCCTATAATCCCAGCACTTTGGGAGGCCAAGGTGGGCAGATCACGAGGTCAAAAGATCGAGACCATCCTGGCCAACACAGTGAAACCCCGTCTCAATTTCTTTAAAAAATAAAATAAAAAAGGAGCTTAGGACAAAGACACAGAGGAAGTCACCATATGAAGTCATATCTGGAAGCCAAGGAGGGAAGCCTCAGAAGAAACCAACACTGCCATCACCTTCATCTTAGACTTCAATCTCCAGAATTATGAAACATAAATTTCTGTTGTTTAGCCACCCGATCTGTGGTACCTTATTATGGCAGCCCTGGCAAACTAACACAGAAATTAATCCTGAATGCCCAAACTCGAACAGTATGAAAGGATAATGGGAAAGATATTTTGGGCAAGACAGCTTAAACCTATCCCAGTCAAATAATCTGGGCTCTAGAGTGTTACATTTAGCAGGAAACTCTCAGTCCTCAATTCTCTGACAGAGAAGCAGCATTTGACAGAACTGGTCATTCCTATCTGAAATACTTTACTTGGCTTCCAGTATTACAAAGACTTTCATTTTTCTTCTCTCTCTTTGTCTAAGTCTTATTTCTTTGAGTATCTTTTCTTTTCTTTTTTTTTTTGAAATGGAGTTTCACTCTTGTTGCCCAGGCTGGAGTGCAGTAGCGAAATCTCGGCTCACTGCAACTTCGGCCTCCTGGGTTCCCAGGATTACAGGTGTGTGCCACCATGCCTGGCTAATTTTTATATTTTTAGTAGAGACAGGGTTTTGCCATGTTGGCCAGGCTGGTCTCCAACTCCTGACCTCAGGTGATCTGCCCACCTCGGCCTCCCAAAGTGCTGGGATTACAGGCTTGTGAAGCCACTGCATCTAGCCGATTCTCTTTTCTTTTCTTTTTTTTTTTTTGCCAATTCTCTTTTCTTTCTATACTCACTCTTACTTGATGATCTAAGCTAGGCCTATGACATTAAAGTAGATAATCACCAAATTTATATATCCAGCCTAGATAATTATTCATGCCTTCTTTTATTTTCTTATTTTTATAGAGATGGGGTCTCACTTTGTTGCCCAAGTTGGTCTTGAACTCCTGGACTCAAGTGATCCTCCTGCCTCGACCTTCCAAAGTGCTGGGTTTATAGATGTATGGGTGTGAGACACTGTGCCTGGCCTACCTCACATGCCTTCTTGACAGAAACACCTGGATGTCTAACTGGCATCTAAAACTTAACATCCTGATCTTCTCCTTCCCTCCAAACCTATTCTACCAAAAGTCCTACCATTTTAGTAATAAAAGCTCATTTTTTTTTTTAGCTCAGGACAAAAAAAATGTGGCCAGGTATGGTGGCTCACACCTGTAATCCCAACAGTTTGGCAGCCTGAAGCAGGAGAATAGCCTGAGGCCAAAATTTCAAGACAGCCTGGCCAACATGGCAAGTCTCCGTTTCTACAAAAAAAAAAAAAAAAGAAAAGAAAAAAAAGCCAAGCGTGGTGGCATGTGAGTATAGTCCTAACTACTTGGAAGGCTGAGGTAGGAGGGCTGCTTTAGCCCGGGAGTTTGAGGTAACAGTGAACTATGATTGTGCCACTGCACTCCAGCCTAAGCGACAGAATGAGATCTTGTCTCTAAAAAAAAATTAAAAAATAGAAAACAAAACAGGCATCTCTGACTCTTTCTTTCACAATCCATACCCAATCCAGATGTAATTACTATCAGCTATTTCGAAATCTTTCCACAGTCAACCACTTTCAACTCCTTCACTGTTATAACTGGTCCAAAAAGCCATCACTTCTTGACTGGATTATTGCAATAACCTTTAAATTATTTCTGTTTCTGGTCTTAACCTACTGCAGTCTATTCTCAACACAAGAGCCAGAATTATTCCATTAAAACCTAAGTCAGACGGCCGGGCGCGGTGGCTCAACGGCCGGGCGCGGTGGGTCAAGCCTGTAATCCCAGCACTTTGGGAGGCCGAGGCGGGTGGATCACAAGGTCAAGAGATCGAGACCATCCCGGTCAACATGGTGAAACCCCGTCTCTACTAAAAATACAAAAAATCAGCTGGGCATGGTGGCGCATGCCTGTAATCCCAGCTACTCAGGAGGCTGAGGCAGGAGAATTGCCTGAACCCAGGACGCGGAGGTTGCGGTGAGCCGAGATCGCGCCATTGCACTCCAGCCTGGGT